ATGCCAGCCAGCCCCGCCCCCTGGTGGGCTGAGCTGGCCACACACAAAAAATAAATAAGTAAATAAATAAATAAATATTTAAAAAAAAAAAAAAAGAACTAAGGACACAAAAACTTCTCTGGGGCATATTCAAGTATGTGATCTTGGACAAAGAGTCAAAAGCCTACACTAGAGGAAAGACAGCCCACTCAACAAGTATTGTTAGCCAGGTAGAGTGGAACTCTAAGATTCCAGAAAGAATGGCAATTATGAAGAAATGAAACATTGGGGTTGGGGAGATAGCTCAGTGGAATAAGTGCTTGCCTGGCAAGTGCAAGGGCTTGGGTTCAATCCCCGGTTCCACCAAAAAAAAAAAAAAGATATCAAACATTAACAGAAGCCAGGCCTAAAGCACTTTTAGACCGCTGAGCTATCTTGCTGGTCCCATGGGCTCAAACTTTTTTTTTTTTTTTTAATGAGCAGAATATATTTATTGAGAGAAAGAAAGCTCCTGTCCAAGACAGGGACAGGAGGGGGGCCCCGAGCCGGTAGTTCTCCAGGCTCAAACTTTTGATCCCCCTGTTTCAGCCTCCCAGAATGCTGTGAATGCAGGTATGTGCCACTATACCCACATGTTTCTTCCTCTTTTCTTTTTCTTTCTTTCCTTTTTGTTTTGAGATAGGGTATCGGGGGCTGGTGAGATGGCTCAGTGGTCTAAAGCACTTATTTAGAACAAGCTTAGCAAAGCACAGGGACCGCAGTTCAATCCCCCAGCACCACATGTCAGCCAGCCCCACCCCCTGGTGGGCTGAGCTGGCCACACACATACACACAAATTTAAAAAAAAAATTTTTTTTTTTTTTTAAAAAGAGATAGGGTATCGTTGTGTAGTTCAGGCTGACCTAGAACTTGCAGTTTTCCTGACTCAGCCATCCAAGTGCTAGGCTTACAGGTGTGCACCAGCATGCCTGATTTCTTCTTTTCTTTTCTTTTTTTTTTTTTTTTTGGTGGAACCGGGGATTGAACTCAGGTCCCTGAGCTTGCCAGGGAAGCACTTATTCCACTGAGCCATCTCCCTGGCCATTTCTTCTTTTCTTTAATATGAATTCATAGTACATCACATACACTACTCTCTACCTTATCTGTGTATATTTACTGTGTCTTGAATAGATTTTTTTGTTTTCTTTGAGACAGGGTCTCATTATGGAGCTTAGACTGACCTCAAACTTGCAGTGATCCTCCTGCCCAGGCTCCTCAGTCCTGGAATTACAGATGTGTAACACTATACCCAGCTAGTTTGCTTATTCCATGTACCCCAGTATTCTATTGCTATTTCATTGACAGTTGGAACAAAATAAAATTATTAACAGTACTGACCCTAGGGACAGTCTGACTGGCTTCACATTTAGCTTTTCCTCTTACAGTTATGTGACACCGAGCAAATCTCCAATTCTTCTTGTGCCTCACTTCTTTAACATCAATTAAGGCTAACAATGGCATCTGCCTCAGTAATACACAATTATGTCCCTGGTTTACATAAACTGTGATGGACCAAGAGATAGCTCAGCAGCATAAGTGCCTGCCTGGCAAGTGCAGGGTCCTGAGTTCAATCCTTGGTATGGCAAACAAACAAACAAAAAAACACCTGTGACTTGCAGAGCTTAGTACAGTGCCAGCTCCCAGTTAGCACTAAGCTTTAGCTAATATTACAGCTAACATCTGGGGAACTTTGAAGAAACATGCAGAAGCTTAATAAATTCCACAGGAATATGAAACCAGTATTTCTTTGGATGATACATGTACACCTACCTTTGCTGTAATAATAATCTGTTTTCTTTTTCCTTTAAAGCTTTCTTTAGTTCCGCTGTTCTTGAGGGCCTATGTAGGTATTTTCTTTTCCCAGTGCATTCATAAGTCCAATGTCCAAATTCCAAGCACTTCTGACACCTTACATGTTGCTTATTTGCTTCACTAAAGAAGGAAAAAAAGACAACACAAGCCTTAAAATTTGCCTTAGCACTTTCTGAAAAGCATGAACAGTATCAAGTATAAAGCAACAATTTTTTATCACAAAAGCCATCCACAGCAGTATAGTAAGTCCATACACAGTCCATGGAGTTAAAACAACTGAGTTCACCTTTTTTTTTTTTTTTGCGGAGCCGGGGTTGAACTCAGGCCCTTGCACTTGCTAGGCAAGTTCTTATTCTACTGAGCCTTCTTCCCGCCCCCCCATTTTTTTTGGGGGGAGGTGGAACCGGGGATTGAACTCAGGCCCTTGAGCTTGCCAGGGAAGCGCTTATTCTATTGAGCCATTTCCCCGGCCCCTCCTCCCCTTTTTTTAACATAGTATTTCACTATGTAGTTCAGGCTGGCCTTGAACTAACTGTAGCCCAGGCTGGCCTCAACTCACAGTGATCCTCCTGCCTCAGCCTTCCACATGGTGGGATTACAGATGTGCACTCCCATACCTGGCCCTGAGTTCAACTCTTGCCAGAAATGGTACTACATGCAATAATTCAAATTTCTTGGAGTTTGAGGCAGGAAGCTCTGGAGTTTGAGACCATCCTGGGCTAAACTGTGTGGTCTAAGCCAGCCTGGGCTATATCAAGACCCTGTCTCAAAAGAAAAAAATCAAAAACAAAAACAAAAAACACAAATGATCAAAAAGAAAAAAAAAAAGTGGCTGTTCAATTTTACTTCAGTAATGACAGATGAGGTAATTCACACTAAACATTCTGAGTGCATGGTACTGAGCCTTTACTTGGGTTTATCTGTCTCCAGCCCTTCAAATTTTGAGTCAGGATATTGCTAAATTGCCAAGTTGGGTCCAAATGTGGGATCTCTCTGCCTCAGCTTTCTAGAGTTTAGGGATCACAGGTTTAGAATAAATATTTCAAACAATCTCCTTGGGGAATCAGAGACGTGCTTCTAGTGTGTAAGTCAATTTTTTTTTCCTGTTTCCCCTGATTTGAGACAGGGTCTCAAGATCTAGTCCAGGCTGGCCTTCACAACAATCCTCCTGCCTTAGCCTCCTGAAGGATGGGATTACAAGCATGTAGCACTACAACCAGCTTGTTTATTTTTTCCTTTCTTTCATTATTGGCCATTAAACTCAGAGCCTCACATATGCTAGGCAAGGGGCTAGGGAGATGGCTCAGTAGGATAAGCGCTTGACTGGCAAACGCAAGGATCTGAGTTCAATCCTCGGTTCTGCCCAAAAAAAAAAAAAGAAAGAAAGAAAAAAAAAAGACATATGCTAGGCAAGTTATCACTAAGCTACTCCCCCAACCCTCCAGGTTTTTATTTCTTCAGCTGGATGGTTATATGGGATGCTGATGCTGCTTTTTTTTTTTTTTTTTTTTT